CCCCCGAAGAATAGCCGCAGCCTGGCCGTCCCCGCCGCGGGCCCCGGAGGAGGGCGGAGGAGCGGGGCGCGCTGGCGGGCGCTCAGCCTCCCGGCTTTGATTGACTTCCGAGTACATTTCAACCTCTGCACCTCTCGCCTCGCGAACGCTTCTTTTGTTCCCGAAATTCAGGAAAAGCCAGACCTCGGCTCCTGGGCACTTCAAACTGCCCTTGAATTTGTGACAAAATTGCATTGTCAAATATTCCTTTTGCTTCTTACCCAAAAGGTTGGGGCATTTCTGAATTACTACGTTTGAAGTTAGCTGGGGCTCAGCTGCCTTTTTGTTGGGAGCCGTCTGAGTTAGATCCCTCCACCTGTATCTTTCCATAACTTAATCCAACCTAACGTTTAATAATACAGCCAAGTTGAAGGAGACATCTAGGAATGCCTTCACGGGCAACTTACGATAACTGAGGTAGGTACAAGCTAGATTTTAATCATACCCAGTGACCTATAATTAGGCCTAATTACATTACTGAACTCTAATCTCATTACTGATTCAAATTAAAACCTGGGTAAGAGTCTCAAAAATTTGCTACAATTAAAACGTCTTCGTGAAAAATACCACTGATGGCAAATATTTGTATTTCTTAGGAATTTATGTTTCACGATGCTTTCCTCCAAAAAAGGAAAGAAGCTGACCTTGGCTCTAAGGGTATCTTAATAATTTCCCCAGATTCTGATCTCCAAACTAGTTTAATAAGCTGCTTAAAAAGGATTTTTAAACATTTATCTGATTTCTGCATGGTTGAGTAAATTTAAACGCTGTCACTAAAAATGCTTCCTATGGATTAAGCCACTTTATTTTGTTCCAGTGGAAGAACACTTCTTTTAATGAAGGGTTATTTTCCTTGAGGCAATTATATATTTTTTTGTTGTTTGTTTTTTAAAAAAAACTCAGTATTTACATATATTTAAGCCATAGTGTTAAACTCAGTAATACAAATTAAAAATTGTATTTTAATTAGCAAGCTTCGAAAGTTTATCTTCAGAGGGGAGACTGAGCTGAGTGGCAAAGGACCATGCTTTTGCCATACTGGTAACCTCACAAATGTAATTAATGCATGTGGCATGTTCCCAATGTGCATTGTGTTGCTACAGTTCAGTTACTTCTTCCAGTATAGTCTCAAATTACAATGTTTAGAGCAACAAAGTCCTGAGCATAATCTCTGCAAATTATCCTGCTAAATAGTTACCTTGATAGTTGCAGAGTTTGGCTCTGGTTTAACTGTACTAATAGTTTTTAAGAAGTAAGTTTTGTTACTCTAAGTGAAAAGGTTCGGTTACCAGGGCCAGATTTGATCTAACTGGAAGGGTCTCCAGGCTCCTATGGTCTGAGGATACTGGGGCAGCTAGGTCCCCCAAGTGGCTCTGCAGAGAAGGTGCCATTACTGACACTTGAGGATAATATTCTTCCACCTTTTTTTTTTTTTTTTTTTTTTTTTTTTTTTTTTT